AACCAAAAGCCCTAATGTGATTTTTTTTGTGATTGAATCAATATGGTATGATGAAGGGATCTTAGGGGGGAAAATTGGGGTACAACAGATACTTAATAATCAACTTGAACAATAAAAAATCCTTAAGGTTACTTGGACTATTTGGTTACTATCCTTGGCATTATGGAGTTGTGGACTTCTTGGACTTATGATTAGAAGCATTGATACCCTTGGGATATTGTGATTTTGTTGTTATTTTGTCTGGAGTTCTTGGGGTTCACCCCAAGATATTGGGTTGATTTTCTTTGTGTGTAGGTTATTCTAATTATATGCTTTGTATATGATTGGTATTTTCCTCTGTATACAGCCGTTACTCTGCCCAATTTTTGTGAATACTTAAAGCATCTGAAGCTTGGTTATCTTAAGAGGTTTAGTATCCTTGATTTCTTGGTTTCAATCTAAAGGATGGGAATTCTATATTGACTCTTTATGTCAAGTGTTGAATTCTTGTTGGTTAGACGGTTCTTTTCCCTAGCTTTTACCTTAGGCTTTATGATAGTCCCTTCATCTCTTCCCATCTTCTTTAATTTCAGAAATCTTCTCCCTCCTTTTAAAAACTCTTCTTTTCTTCCAACTTGAACTGCTTTCATAATAAACTTGGAATTAGGTCCATGCATTTTCAAAAATATTTTCTTAATCAAACTTTAACCAACTTAATCATACTTTGACATTTTTGTGAGAAGACTAAAAGTCAATAATCTCATTCAAACCATTTTTGTCACTTTAGCTTTTTACTTTAAACTCATTTCTCAAAAAGATTAGATTCTTGTCAATCCTTGTAGCGATATGAGCTACTATACTTCTATGATATGTAGTGAAGTGAGATATTTTCTACTTGGGTGTTGAGTGAGGCTTTGTTGATTTTAAAATCCAAGCTATATCCTCCACTTTGAGATGATGCAAATTCTCCTTTCTCATAATCGTGGGTAGTAAGTATGTCTTTCACTCGGATATGACGATGATGTCTCGTCTCTTAAAATTAACCAACACACTTGTGTTTTAAAATTTTTAAAGGAGAACTACGAGTACCCTGATCCCCTATTGCATGAAAGCTGGTACGTAGGCACAAAAGGTTCGCAACCACGACGAGTGTAAAAATTATAAAAAAAATACTTCTTTTTCACATCTCCACCATCTATTTTTGTATATAACACATATAGCCAAAATATACAAATTTTTAAAGAGGTTCTTGCGGAGTATCATAGATGTTTAGGGTGCTAATACCTTTCCTTTGCATAACCAACCCCCGTACCTAGATTCTCTCCCCCTCTTTTTGGGTTATTTTCTCTTTTCTAATTCCTTTGGAAATAATAAAGTGCAGTAGCAATTTTTATTTGATCTGTGCGAGTCAAGTCAATCCAATGGCTTAGTCTCAACATTTCTACCGCTACACATGGAGCACACAATGTAGGAGGATTTATGCTATGATTCTTTTTGGGATGGATAGATTTTCTCACAAGATTTTCAATGTGCCAAGAAAGTTTCCATTTGGAGACATGAGAAAGAAGATATGCTCCTTTAAAATCTGAAAAAGCTCACTGAAATTTATACTTAAAATTACATGGCCTTCCACTCAAAATTAGCTCTTGATCCTTGAGATGAAATGAAGTAGACTCTTCAAATAGAATTATGGCATTGGAATAACTCAAAAATAATAAAAAATGAATGAGTGGTGGTCCTTGGAAGTTGATGACAATTTCTGGAAAATTCCATAGAGGACCTATAATGTTTGCTTTAATTCCGAAATTTTCCAAACATTTTTAGATCTTGCACTTTGAATCAAAGTTCTAATAGACTTACTTAAGATTATTGTAGGAAAATAATAAGCTCAAGGAGATGAAAATTGACCAAGTTATGATCATTTGAAGTCAAGTCAAAATTTTCAATGGTTTTCTCAAAGGACTTGTAATCTTTTCAAATTTTTGATGATTCTCCAAGCATAATTGGCTCTTGTCATGTGAAGATAAGTTATTGTAGATGATGAGAAGATTTTGTAGGATCAAGTGCTTACCAGTGAGCTAAAAGTAATTTCTTGTAGCCAAGGTGCAACTTTATTTCCATATAGTACGAGCATTTTTAGGGGCTGCACCTAGTTTACTAAGCTCCCATGGGTGGGATGTTAAGCCCTTCGAATCCCTAAGGTTGGAGCTGGTTATTTTAATCCAACAATCCCCCCCCCCCCCCCCCCCCAGTGTCAGCTTGGGGGATTCGAACCTATGACCATGCTCTGAATACCAGTTGTAGGATCAAGTGCTTAACAATTGCTTGTAGCCAAGGTGCAACTTTATTTCCATATAGTACGAGAATTTTTAGGGGCTGCACCTAGCTTACTAAGAGCCCATGGGTAGGATGTTAAGCCCTTTGAATCCCTAAGGTTGATGCTGGATATTTTAATCCAACATATTCCATAGCAAAAAGAACCACTTAAAAATATTGAAAGTTGAGAGAGTTATTCACTTGTGATCATAAAATCAAGGACTTGTCAAATAAGGTCAAACCACTTGGATCAACTTTGAATATCTTGAACTTTTATTGCAAATTAAGGCGTGATGAATCACATGAGACTTTGAAATGACGTTATCTTGAAGCACACTTGATGAGAAGACTCATTGCTTGATGAAAATTGTTGGAGAAGGCATGGAAATAAACACATGAACCTATGAAGTTTCTTGATGAATACAACCAATCACTTTGAGACAAACTTGACCAAAGGAAGTTGAGATAGTTCTCAAACCATAGAAATTTAATGCTATAACCATAGCCTTGATGTTCAAGCTTTTAAAGTCCAATTAATAGCTAATTGACTGAGAATCAATCTTCAAAACCCTACAATGTATAAAGCATGAAAGGAAACACATACATCTTTTTGGATTTTAGTTAAAGGTTAGTAAACATGAAACACATATACAAAGTACACAATTTAAGGTGCTTGGTGATCCCTCAAGAACAAATATAAAGAATATGAGAGAGTAGAATAGATAACCAACCCAAGTGTGTGATATTAATGTATTGTGATCATGTGAAATGATGGAGGATCTTAGGGGCAAAAATTTGGGTATAACAGATATCTCCAACGACTCTTTCATGAAACTCTATAAAAGGGGATGATGATTTGGAAAAACACACAACACTGCGCCTTGACAAGAAAAACAGAAGTTACTCTATCAAAATAAAAAGCACAAGCTAACTTAGAACTTCTTACCAATTGTACATTCTTAGAAGTTCTTAAGTCTTAGAGACCTCTGATTGTATATCAAGTGTAATTATCACTCTATCACTATCACTTATCTGTTAGATAGATTTTTTAAAAGTCTATTGCATGCGTGTTTGAGCAGTGAAGTGTCTTTCTTGTGTGCTTGAGCATTTTGAAGTCTCTTGTTTGTGTGCTTGAGCATTCGGAAGTCCCTTGCTTATGTGCCTGAGCAATTGGAAGTCTCTTTCCTGCGTACTTGAGTAGTAAAGTCTCTTGCTTGTGTTCTTGAGCAATCAAAAGTTTGTTGCTTGTGTGCTTGAGCATTGAAGTACTACACTTGTGTGTTAGGGCATTGGTAGTCTGTTGCTTGTGTGCTTGAGTAACTTGTAATCATATTTGATTTTTAGTGAAAATCTCTTGGAAGTCACTACTACAAAACGTGCAAACAACAACGCCCAAGTCACCACGGTTCTTCCAAACACCCTGGTTAAATCTCAAAACTCAAGCGCTAACATTTTTTTTTTAATTAAAAATTGTTAGGATATAATAACGTTTGATGAACTCGTTGTAGTGATACAATCAAGATTTCATGGATTGGAACATCAACGCTCTCAAATATTTTATTCCTTTAAAGTTAAGACACGCCTTTTATTTTTTATTTATTTTAAAATGAAAAATAAAAGGGAAACACCTTTCTTCCCCTAGTCCAAAGTAGGGGCATTTGATGTCTAAAAATTACTTTTTCCAACTGATAATGTCATTTTGTTCAGTTATAACTACATGGTTAATGAATCATGCCTTTGGTTGCCAGAATTAAACAAAATGTTGATGTCACATTATACTATTTGGTTCCAAACCTACTTTTTCTAGTTTTTCACATTTACTAAAGCCATCACATCACTTTTAAATTTCTAAACAATTTCTATTTCTTCCTCCACAAACTTTTCCTCCTTTCTCTCTCATCCTCTGTGCTTCCTCTTCTTCATACAGACTGTGTATTTCAAAATCCACCTTCTTCTTCTTATCTTTTAAAGATAAACACATCTTCATCTATTTTTTCAAATACATCTATGTTACTTTCACAACTAAGAGAAACAAAAAATAAACACCAAAACAAGTTGAAAACAGAAAAATGGAAAGAGATGGAATCAGAATCTACCGGCGGCAGAATGTGATAAGTTGGTGGTTTGGTGAACTTATGGTGGTGTGAGGGACAGCATGAAGAGGACACATGAATACGGTGTGAAGCAATTTGCGTGACAACTTTGGAGAACAGAGGATTCAAAGATTTTTCTCTTTTCCGCTCTCTTCAGTTTTTTATAAAAGAAACTATTTTTCAATGTCTGAATATGTTGTTGTTGTTGTTTCAATGTCATAGATTTTCTACATCGAATCCACTACAGCGGATAGAAAACGCTTGAGGGTGAAAGTTTAAATTTTTTCTGTGATTGTTTTATTGGTGCAGATTATTAGATTAGGTTTTTTGGGTTGATTTTTTGAGTTGGATGTTTGAAAATATGGAACCAGATCAATGACCGGTCCATTCACCTCCTCATAACCTTTGGTTGTTAGCACAATATATCCTCCATTTACACTGGTAATCTATATTTTCCCTCACTATATATCTCTTTCTCTCTCCTTCTTTAATTATTTGATGGTTAATACAAAGTTATCGCTCATTTAGCATGAACAGGACTCGAAAACAGTAAAAGAATTGATTGAATTGGAATCTAATGCGAAGTTATTTCAGGTTCGATTTCAACTCCAAATGAAACTCTCTGAAAATTTGCATGATTTTGAAACTTTTTTCACAATTTTAGGCCCTTTGGATGACTATAAAAATGCCTCAACAAGCTGCGAAGAAGAACACATTTCTAACAGGGAGAAAGTAACTATATCTCAACGAAAGAGAATATGTAAGAAGAAGATGAAGGAAGAATCCATTCTCTGTGGAAAGTTACTTGGACTAAATTTAAATGGCCTAAAGTTAATTGGCATGTGGATGCCTCCATCTCAGTCAAAACAGGTAGTGGACAATGATCCTCCACCTGTTCGATAAAATGCTTCTCAGAAAGGCTATCCAACTATAAACATGTTGGCTATTTTTTTAATGGCTATTGATCATGTCTTGTTCTCTCTGACTAAATTGATTTAGATGATGAGACTAGTCGTGCTAACACCAAGGCAGTGAAGCAGCGGAGGATGGCGAAAAGGGTTGTCAAAGATACCCGTGCGTGGATAAATGTTCATTATGTTTTTTTCATTTCTTGGTCATAAATGCAGGTTTGTTTACACAATTTGTTTCCTGATTAGATCTTTTCCATTAATGTTGTTTCCTGATTAGATGTTTCCTTTCTTAATGGAAAATAGAACCAACTACATTCCAAAATTGAATCTATCAGCTGGACTAGTGTGAATACTGTTGTTATTGATGCATTAGCCGGTATTAACTTGCTGGTATTAACTTTCTTTACATTGAGTGGTTTTTAATTTAGTTAATTTGCTGCCTTTGGACCGAAACTGATGTCATGTACACTGAATATAACCAAGTGATGTTTCATTCTGATGTTTATTGCAGCCATTGGTGTTGCTATGTGAAGTCTGTGGAACAAAGAAGCAGAACGATGTTACAAAGTTGGAAGTGTGGTTTTGCAAATTTTGTACTCTAGAAAATAGTATTGAGCTTGATAGATGCTTAGCGTGTGGAGAATGAAGTTATTCACATGGCCCAATATATATGTATATATAATTGGAGGTATTCTGATGGATACGGTTGAAAACCTGTTATGGTTATTAGGATTTTATCATTGTAATTATCTATATGTATATGTCAATGAATTAGATGATTTAAGTAGCATATGAATGTCTTGTTTTCTAAAATGACTAATACTCACTTGATTTCAGTGTCATTTTCAACACGCTTTTTGGCGTTACTACAAGTTTGAATTGGATGGATGTTATCACAAGATTTGTTCTCAGATTTTTGAATGGTGCAATTGGACCAACTAAGGTACTGTAAGTTTTTTTATATTTGCATCTACTGCTACACCAGGTATTTGATAAAACTCCTATTTTTTCATCTACTGATTCTGCTATTTTATCTCGCTTGAAGCTGTTTTCTATAATGAATAAACTTATAAATATTGCTTCATGTCATTATAATAAATAACGCTTTTTATGACGAAACTTTCATCTCTAACATGCTAAAAACCGAGAGGATATGTCCTAGGAGTGCAATATTTCATTTTTTTAATAAGACAAACATTATGTTACGTGAGCGTTACAAAAAACCGAGATAACACACCTAACCATTAGCGCCTATTTTTCCATAAAAAATTAATAAACCCGTTATCTATGTTTTCTTGATAATCGAGGTAATATTTCTATGTTTACCTCACTTTGAATCCCAGTTGCCGCATTTAAAACTTTTTTCAATAATTTATCATTTGACGTCTTTTCCAGATGCCATGTTTTTTTTTGTTTAACAAGAATAGGCAACAATAGAAAAAGAAAATATTTCATTGATAATAAAAAAACAACACAACAAAGAAAACTACTCAACAAATTCAAACTTCTCAGTCCACTCAACTTCAACATCACCATTAACTATCCCTAACTTATATAAAAGTTCAGAAATAACTCTTCCATAAGGTATGAGGAAATTCGTTTCCTCTCGAAAAGTCTTTATAATTTCCTTCAAGAAGTTGAAAATGGTAAGAGGAAGAATAAATCTCATGTTGTAGGTGTGGAATAACAAGAGATTCTTGTCATACCAAGTAAGCGTTTCCAGGTCTTTCTCTCTTGGGCAGAGATTTATCACTAGAAGTTGAAACCAAAATTTTACAATTGGTCTCAGAGAAGCAGGACTGGAGAAATTATTTTTGTTGGTATAAAGTCTATGAAGGTGGGTTGCATAGACACTGTTGAATTCATAATATTCAACATAACTACTAAATAATTCACAAATGATTGTCATAGCAATCAGTGATGGAGTAATGTATAAATGAGTGGCATTGCCATATGATTGAATGATTTCTTCATGACCAGCTAACACAACAAAGGCGTTCATCCAGAACTCTTTGACAAGGTTAGTGTATATGGGGCCATGTAGAATGTTAAGTAACCATTCAACTTTTTTTTGTCAACAGATTTCCTCAACTTTTGTTTTAAACGTTCGTAATCGTTGAAATCAACATATTTTTCATTGATAACAAACAACATATTTGCATCCATTTTTTATAAGAACTTTGAAACAAGGAAACCGAGAGTTGGTAATTAGACGTTTAAAATAGGAAAATACTTTGAAACAAAGAGTTGGTAATTAGATGTTTAAATAGCTCAAAGTTCTCCTTGATAATCCAAAAGAGATATTTAAATAGCTCAGAGAACGTTGAATATAACTGATCATTTCTATTCAAGATAAGTGATAAGATTCCAATGCATACGTGCCACATCAGTGTTCTAACCTCTTTTTTAATTGTATTTTTTATTTGTAATATAAATATTCTAACCCATTGGTTTTCCATAAAACCGAGTGACCGTTTAGCGTTAAGATTGAGCGCTAAAATTTGAACCTCTATTTTAATTGTAGCTTTTATTTGTAAATTAAATGTTCTAACCCATCGTTTTTCCTAAAAACTGAGGTAATATTTAGCGTTAAAATTGAGATATTTATCAAATCTGTAGTCAAATCCTTGTCGTCTATTTCATGACTATCAATATTCAAGACAATACCATTAGTGATCCATGTGAAACTTAAATAACTTCTATTATAAAAACATTACGAATATCAAAACTTAGATGACTATCTTTCACTTTAAGATTTGCAAGAGTGTTTTTCCATGAAGAGTTCTCTATTTGGGTTTAAGGTTTGTGTTGTTAAATATTTATTTTAACAGAAAATTATTTATGTATCTAAACCTTTTTTTTATATCAGAAACAAATGCAAGAAAAAAATTGAAAATAGTTTGTTTCCCATAAGATCCACAACGTAATATTTGAGTGTAAGGTTTGCAAGAGTGTTTTCTATGAATAGTTCTCTATGATGGATTGCAAGAGTAGAAAATTATTTGAGTGTAAGGTTTGTGTTCTTAAGAATTTATTTGAGCAGAAAATTATCTAACCCTTTTTTGTTATTTTTGTTCCTATCAGAAACAAATACAAACAAAAGCCATAGAAAATACCTTTTTTTTGTTGGTAGAAAAGAGTTTCCCATGCATTTGATCTTGCCCAAAATATCAAGGAACTGAAGATCCAACATATGATCTTCATGTATAATTCATTTGTTTCTGTGTAAAAAATGTAATATTCTGGATAAATACTGTAGTTTTTAAATAAATTATTTTATTAATGTTATGTGTAAACAATGTAACGAGTTTTATTAAAAAAGAAAAAAAAATAACCCATCGATTTTAAACACCGACGTGATAATCTTAATTACTTCGCTTCTAATGTCGAAGTAAAACGCATTTCGAATCCAATAGTAGACGTATTATTTATAGTAGTGTGTGTAAGGCTTTCGTGAAATTTTTTCAATGTAATGAGCAACATATGAAGTTTGCTTTTATAATGATGTCTTAGTTTGTGAACACTGGAATTTTATAATGATGGTTTTATGCTTAATAAACTGATGAATGATGGGATTTGTCTTGACCCTTTCGATTCTATTTGATTGAATCAATGTAAATCATGAAAGAAGTTTGGCTATTTCAATCTACAGTCGCAAACCATGAGAGAAGGTGGGTTTCTTCACTAGGTAATGTCCTGCTAGTCATCGAGGATTGGATCCTGAATCGTATATGAAATAATATTAATGTTTCATGGCGTTGCGCTACAATATTTCCCAGTATAATATTTGTATTCGTGTGAAAGGTAAAATAAAAAGATTTTGATTTCTTCTTGAGTTGGAGCAATACGTCAAGTACGCGCACAAATCAAATCCTACTTTTTGGAACCAAATATTAATTTCATTCATTTCTTATGAATCCAATCTTTGCATTAGGTTGTGGCCGAGAAAGTAATCAGTGAAGATGACCCTTTATTACTCTTTTATGGATGTTTAACAAATGATCTTTTCCTTCTTAATTACATATCAGTGATACAATCAAACCCTTATGTGTGTATCGAGCTCAGATATAATGGTGCTCTTTTGATTAGCTGCAAGCACGACAACTGGAGTTTCTTGATCTTCATCTTTACACTGAAAGTGTTGGATTAGGGTGATGATGGTGTCGCCACTGCTGCTGAAACTTCCGCTTTACGCACATCTTTTAGGCAGGAAGTTGCCGTCTGGCACAAACTTGACCATCTAAATGTCACAAATGTAATGACTTTGTGTTTTAATCTCATATGTTGAAAATAATGACTACTACGTGATACAATATTTTGTATCGATGAATCATGAATAACAATCCAGATTAGTGATTGTTTTGTATTTATTTATACAACAGTTTATCTCCCAGAATATATTCTGTTATCGTCGAGTTTCTCACTGGTGGAACGCTGAAACAATACTTGATAAACTAGCCAATAATATACAAAAAGCTAGCCAAAACATCATTGAAAACATTCTTTGATCAATATATAAAGTGATCAGAAACATGAAAAAGCATGCAATGAAGACAGTTAATAATCTTCATGTGTAAAAGGCACATAAATAAGGTAGCAGAGAAAGAGATAAGTATTTTTGTAGTGCATGCATATTATGATTTTTATTTTTATTTTTATTTTTCATTTCTTCTGTGAGTCCTTTGAGAAGTAAAATGAAAATTAATTAAAATATTGACCATAAAAAAAAGAAAATTTAATAAATAATTATGGAAAATCATTCAAAGAATGGTTTGTTGTCATTTGACTGATATGGTTAAGAATATTCAAATATTTTACTATTCAACACAGTCAATTCTTCAATCCCACTTTTAAAATATTACTGCATAAATAAACCCTTTGAATATTCAAAGAATGGTTTGTTCTGAGTTGACTGATATGTCTAAGAATATTCAAATATTTTACCATACAGTCAATTCTTCAATCCCACTTTTAAAATATTACTGCATAAATTAAATAAACCCTTTGACTCAAAGAAAAATTGTGAAGAGAAGAAAAAATTGTGGTCTATGAAGAGAGTAGTGGTTTGTGTAAAAATTGCATTGGTATAAAGGTATGCTTCACTATTAAACTACTTAGTGCATATGGTGTATTTGAACATAAAATGTGCAATTGTGTTTTGGATTTATTTTTAAGAAGACATTTATTATTCACTTTGTTTATGTTTGTAAATATCATAGTAGCATCAAATTAATAATGTCATGTAAATAAATTTAAAATTATATGAATAGTATATAATATATGGTTTGATATTGATTATACTAATTATCATGAAATTTGACCTATGTGGATTGTTGATGTTCCTGAGCATACAATGATACAATAATGTGAGGATAATTTATTGGTTTAGTAAAGACTATGCAACAATAGCTGCAAGAGAAGGATAATTTACATCTGAATATTAAGGTAAATCACAATGTGAGGGTTAAGATTGAAAATGTCTAGAAAATATTTTTCTATAAAATATTAGTTAATCATTTACTTTTCATATAATATTTTTATCATTATAGAAATATATTGTATTTAATTATTCTAAATTGTTTCTAAGAATAAATTTGTTTGTAACAATAATTAATATTAATTATTCTAAATTGATGATATTGTAAGAATATTTTTTTAAAATTTAAATCACTTGATAATTATTATATTTATTAGATATTCAAAATATTTGTTGTAGCAAAATATTAAATGATTCAGACAAGTATAAGGGATAGTATGGTCACATGGTTGATGGCTTGTGGTGAGTTATGAGAATTGTCTGAAAGTGACTGAAGTATTGATGTTTTGATGTTGTAGCTTGTTGCACCCTAAAATTTGCCCTCTCATTTCTCAAGGAATCACCCTGGATCCTCAAGTTTGCTTCCATCCAATTTCAAGTCTTGAACTGCAATTTTTTAAGAAAAGTCATTCCCAAGGGCAAAATGGTCATTTGCACACTGAAAAGTCAAACTTTGACTTTTGGATCAAAATCAAATCTCAAAAATCATATTTCATCCAGACATGTTGGAATATGAAGTTTGTTTCATCAAGAATTTCAAAAGTCAAATTTTACTTTGGAAAAGTCAAATTCTAAATACTTAAAAAAATTTCTAAGTGTTTAAGAAGCATGACAAAACTCAGAACTTCTGACCAGATTATCACCATAACACTCAGCAAATTCTGGACACTCTCAAGGCAGAGTTTGGTCAGAATTTCTGGGCAAGTTTTCACAAAAGCTTCAGTCAGAGTTTGTCAGCGTAATTCAAAGAAGGTTAAGCAACGTGCTGCAAGCTTTCTAGAAAGTCTGAAAGTTCCTTCAGAACATGCTGGAGCCAGAAGATACAAAGATCAGAGGATGGATGCTACGCAGAAGCAGAACTTCTGATCCAGAACTAAGCCTTGGTGTAGAATCTCAAGTTGCAGAATTTCTGGTTGTGATAAGTCTCATCATCATTTAATGCTCACAATCACTTTCTGAGTCTTTATCCAAAGGATTTTCACCACGTGTACCGCTACTGTCTTGGGATAGAAACTTTGGTACTAAGCTCATACTTTGATTTTTTCTTTTCCTTAACTCCTGCTGACAAACACCATGCTTGCTTCAAGAACAAGGCAGTGCTTCAGCATATGAAGGTTATATTCAACACTTTGGTCAGAACTTGACCAAATCCCAAAACCTTGTTTATAGAACCCGCTGCAAACCTATAACCAACAGCTAGGTCAGCCTACGTCTGCATCCCATAATTGCACCAAACTAGCATACGAAAACAGTGATGAAAAAGCAAGGGAGCAGGATGCCAAATTGATTTAAAATCCCATTTGTCTTTCCCCCCAAAATCACAACAAATTCACCTATAAATACTTTGCTCCATCACACGTTCAAGGGGCTGGCTTTGAAGGAGGAGCTTGCTTTTGGAAAGAGAGAACTATCAAAAGAGAAAAAGAAACCTGTGAAACCCTTCATAAAAATCCAGATTTCCCAAACAGAAAACCAAAACCTTTGTTCTTCCCTTTGAATCAAAGAACTTGGTATTTTCTCTTCCGTTACTCTTGCTGATTCCAGAACATCCAAAGGCAGCCACTCAAAGCTCCAAGCACGCTCCAGGTTCAAGGTAAGTCTTTCTGACTTTGCTTGTTTTTCATTCTGAACATCATTAACATGTAAATATCATAATATTAATGTTGTCCATACCATTGCATAAGTAGAAAAACTGTGGATCAGAGTTTCTTGATTAGGGCTAGACTCAGATTTAGGATTAGAACTTCTGTAAATTGTTGTGCTTTTATCCTTCTAACTTTCTCATTGTTGAAAACTGAATAGATTACTGATGTGTTGATTGAGTGTTGAAATATGGCATTAAAACTTCTGATGTTCATTCATAGTTTTAACATACAAAACTTCTATGATTTTTCTCACTGTTAAACACACACAGAACTTGAGTTCTCTTCACTGTTTTAACACACAGAACTTCTATGATTTTTCTCACTGTTAACACACACTGAACTT